ATGACGCTGGGATTTGAATTCACACTTACTAAGCAGGTGCTCTACCACTTGAGCCATGTTCTCAAACTTTTTTTAATGGCTTCAGTTTTAATAGCTTTTTAGGCTTCAGACCTGTGTTCCTCCTACCTAGGCCTCTATTCGAGCTGGGATTATAGATTGAACCAGTACAGCTGGCTTGTTTATTGAGATACATTCTTGTTTATGATTTTTGCCTAGGCTGTCGTAAGACTTAGTTCCTTCTATCTCCACCTCTCAAATATCTAGGATGACAGGCCTGAACTGTTACACTCAACCAAATGAATCATCTAATACCTCAATTAAAGAACTCAAGCCCCAGTGATCTGGAAAAGAAAGAACTCAAAGAATCCTCTTGGAGATTCTGAGTAAAAGATGCTTCTGTTTTTCTGGGAATTGCCTCTGATCCCCTCACAACATGATTCCCCTCACAACAAGTACTCTTGTACCGCCTTCCCCAGGATACCCAGGAAAGGTGCCATCTCTCCCCGTATGTTCCCCGTGTCTGTCTTTGTCTCTGCCAGATTCTGTGTGTTAGCTGATCTCTTTGACTTCTCATCAAGCTTAAAACCTATCTTTGCTCATTTCTAGAGCCCCAACAATGGGACTTGGTCTGCTCTCAACAGAGGACTAAAAACTGGTTTTAGTAATAGGCAGACAGGATACTAATGTTGCACATCTGTAATTGTCATTACTCCAGAGGGGGAGACCTGAGGATCTTGGGTCAACAAAGCCAATCTAGGCTGGAAAAACAAAACACAAATTGCAAGATTCTACCTCCAATTAACCAGCAAAATAAATAGTACACACCAAAAAGCCAAAAGTGGAGCTGTATTGTAGCTCATATGGTAGTGTGCCAGCCATGAGTGAAGAAGCTAAGTGATAGTGTCTAGACACTGATTTCAAGGCCCAGTACCAGGACGAACAAAAAATAAATAAGTAGAAGAGTGCTGTGGTGACGTTTTTCAGCTCTAGTTATTATTTTAGGATCTGTAATGTGAATTTTTAAAAAAGTAACAACCTGTCTTTCACTCCAGATTGAACCCTACATTGCCTTATTTTGACAGAGGTTTCAGGGGAAAAAAAAAAAGCTGTAAGCCCTGTGCAGGGTACTTGGACTCTGCTAGGAGTTCTAAGGGACAAGGAAAGTTGGTAAAAGGAGAAGGTGATCCAGAGATAAACAGCTCAGACAGCCTTCAGGAGGGCTGGCTTGGAGATGGGAGGAGGCTAAGCATGATTTCCTACCAGTCTCCAGCTGTGAACTTTCTGCTATCTGCCTCTAAGGCCCAAGGCCATGCAAAGGGGTGGTCCCGGGGCCTGGCTGTATCTTCCCTCCTCCTGTGTATCTATCTCCTGGATTGACAGCTCCTTTATCCAATCCATGTGTTTTGGCTAAAGTCAAAAGCAAATAGACTTGCAAGTAAACAACAGGTGGGGAGGGGAAAAGACTGGCACAGAGGAATCAGGAAGGGAAGAGACTGTGAGGGGGTTGTAAGCCACAGTCCCACCAGGGGACTGCTGTGACTGTGGGTGAACACGCTATCAATGTCTTAGTTTCTGTGTTCATGCTTTAATTTATAAGGAGATGGATGTGAATATGGTCTGATGCCTGAATACAGCCATGTCAAGGCTTCAGTTTGTTTTAGACAGGATCTCCTGTTTCGTTTTGGTTTGGTTTTGGCTAAGACCAGCCTAGGATTGTGATCCCCCTTATTACTGTCTCCCAAGATTCCGAGACTATAGATATGTGATTCCACGCCTGGCTATTCTTAACTGTACCACTGCACAATATATTTTATGGCACATTTGAAAGCCTCTTCTGAAGCAGATTTGCAACTGCTTTTACCCACTCTATAGCAAGCATGAAGCGAGGCCTCTGCACCTTCAAAGAATAATGATTTTGTTAGAACAGCAAAGTGGCCTCAGTTTGGCCTTATGTTCTAGCAAAAGCTCATTGCTTAGCTGCATTTAACAATCCATGAAACATTTCTATTAACATTACTGTGTGAATCGTGTGCTTGCAGGATGAGTGAAAAAAAAAGTAAGAAACAGGATGACAAACTATGCAGAAAATGAAAATAAGTGAGATCTTAAATATTTGACTGAGGGCTCTATTTTCAGGTAATTTGTTACCATCTTGGACTCTTGCACAGCAGGCAGAGGCCACAGAACAGCGTTCTGAATCATTAAAATGACTACGAGAAGCTTTTATGTTTTTACTACTTTTCAACGAGTATGTTGGGCCTTTCAAGCTAACCCTTATTTAAATATTTAGCAGACATGGGGTCAAATGTAAAATTGTAAAATTCTCAAATGCTAAACGTGTAATTATGAATCGGATGATATAGTTGGATCACTTATCTGTGTTCCAACAGTTCTTTTTCCAGTGTGAGAGGAATCTGAGCTAGGTGAGTCAGAGTCTGAATTGTACAATGCTTTTTATCTTCGTGCTTCCTGATCCTATTTTTTTCATTCACGCCATTCAAGTTCTTCATTCACTTTTTCATTTAACAAATACTTTTCAGTACATACCAGACACCAGCACTGTTGTAGGTTTAGGGATATGTACCAAGAAGTAAGTGCATAAGAACACAACCCATTTGGACCTCACTTTTAAGGTAACAAACAAAAATAGACTCCAGTAGGGTGCCAACAGCTCATACTTTGTAATCCTAGCTAGTCAGGAGTTTGAAATCTGAGGATCTGTGTGTGTGTGTGTGCGTGTGTGTGTGTATAGATGGGGGAGGAGTACATGGGCTTGAGCTCAGGGTCTGGGCTTTAGCCATTAGCTTCTTCCCCTCAAAGGCATTCCATGTCTTGAGCCACAGCTCCACTTTCAGCTTTTTGGTGCATAATCAGAGATAAGAATCTCATGGACTTTCCTGCCCTGGCTGACTTCAAACACCGATTCTCAGATCTCAGCCTCCTGAGTAGCTAGGATTTACAGGCATGAGGCACCAAGGCCTGGCAGAATGGGTTCTTCTAAATGCAGAGGTTGACCCAGCCTGTTGTCCATCAGAGTCCACCCATCAGTTAGTCCCCCATAACATCCTCAGAACCCAGCCTATGACTGTCACTCTCCCCCAGATGCATTGATCCCTGCCCAGGGTGTCTCCCCACCAAGATTTACCCAAGCACTGAAGAACAGGTCTTGGCTCGTGTCTATGGTCAGGAATAGCTGGAAATGAGATGCAGGACAATTGCAAACTTGAACATTCTCTTGGATGGCTGTATTGTGTGCACACTCCAGTTTGCTCCATTAGGGAATCATCTTAGCAGAGCTGGTGGATCCTGACCTTCAGGACCTCTCTCCCTGAACGGCTCTGGTGAGTGCCAGGAGTTATGGAGGATTCTCCAGAAGCAGAGAAGCCAGACTGCTTTGGGGAAGCAAATTAGAGACTCAGATTACCCAAGATCTCAGAAGGTAAGGCCCAGGATCTCCAAGGTCCCAGGATTGAGTTGTGATGTCTTTCCTCATTCAAAAGAACTGTTCACTTGGCAGGCCTAATTCTGTTTCCTCTTTCTGAAAACCAGTGCTCATTCTCCATCATGTCCACAATGGTGTAAAGCTTTGGGCTCCAGAAAACCTTCATCCACTTCAATTTGAGGTCTTATACCTCTCACCAGGGCAGGGCTGGAAGACAGAGGTATAAATTTGTCTGGAAAGGGGACATGGGAAGAGAGTAAACCCTCATCCAACATGGCAGAGAGCCAATAGATAAATCAAGAAATTGCTTTGTCAGCTGATTTTGTTTCTAAGAGACAAGAGGTGACCACCAGAAGAGCTGAATAGAGGAACTTTGTAAAAAGGAACAAAAAGAAAATGGACCCTTGGGGCTGGGAAGGTGGCTCAATGGTAGAACGCTTGCCTTGCATGCATGAGGCCCTGGGTTCGATTCCTCAGCACCACATAAGCAAAAAGAAAAAAGCCGGAAGTGGCGCTGTGGCTCAAGTGGTAAAGCGCTAGCCTTGAGCTGAAGAGCTGAGGGACAGTGCCCAGGCCCAAAGTTCAGGCCCCACGACCGGACCCAAAAAAAGAAAATGGACTCTTGGTGGGTGGGTGGGGACAAGAGAGAGGGGCTTCTGTTTTATTTTAAGCGATACTTTTACTTTCTAAAAACTGCTCATTCAGCCAGGTGGCTCACACCTGTAATCCTAGCTACTCAGGAGGCCTGAGACCGGATGACTGAGGTTCAAAACCAGTCTGGGCAAGAAAATCCGTGAGGTTCCCCATCTCCAGTTAATCACAACAATATCCAGATGTGGAGCTGTGGCTCAAGTGGCAGGGGCTAGCCTTGAGCAAAAATAGCTCAAGGACAGTGCCCAGGCCCTGAGTTCAATTCCCAGGATAGGAACAAAAAGAAAGGGGAAAAAAACAAAACAAACCAACAAAACCCTGCTCAAGCATCACTTTGCTCTATTATTAGGTCTTTTCTTTTCTTTTAAAAAAGAAAAAAGTTAAAAAAAAATAACGAATGAAATATAAAAACAGGAGAAAATAAAAAAGCAAACTGGCCCACAATGCGAAGAGAGAGGCCTTGAAGGTGAGGATTCACTGAGCAGTTTAGGCCGGGGAGGGGCGGGACCTAAGAGAGGGCGTGGCTTACACGGGGGCGTGGTTTATCTCCTTAGGGCCACCCCCCCAGCGAGGGGTGGGGCGAGAGCAGAAGTGTCTCTCTGTGACTCCGCCCATCGACCGCGGAGCGCAAGGTCAAGCCCGCCCTAGACCCCGCCCCCTTACCCCCCCTCCACACACACCCCAAAGCGGGTTGGGGCGGGGTCGTCCCGCGGCTGCCGCGGGAGAGTAGCTCTGGGCGGTGTCTGCCATTACTTCCCGACTGAGGAGAATTCTCTGTGGTCCTGTCAGAATTCGGAAGGTGTCACTGACGGCCGAGGGCCACAGCGCTGCGGGTAAGCGCGGCCGGCCGCCGGCCCACGTGACTCCCGGCCGCGCGGGCCCACGTGACCCTTTCCCACCGCGCCGACCTGGCGCCGCGCGCGCCTGAGCGACAGGTGGCGGGGCCGGGCCTTCCCCTCCGCTCCCCTCCCGCCCGGCCGCGCATTCCCGGGGCTCCCGGGCCTGCAGGCACCGCCTGTAAAAACAAGTGCCCGGGGTGTAACCTTCACCGCGCGCCAGTACCGCGGGGTTCGTCAGTCAGTCAGGTGGGGAGACCTAACACGAGTACCTGACTAAGGCCCCCCCCACCCACGGTGTGAGAAGTGCGGGACAGGGTCCCCACAAACTGCAGGGGCTGTGCGTGCGGATCCAGGTTTGGGGCGGGGGGCGGGGAGGCGCGAGGGGTTGAGGCTTGTTGGAGGAAGGAGAAGTTGGTAGGGATGGCCAACTTGGGGTGGGGGTGGGGAGCCGGAGATGAGTGATGGTGGGGGGGGGACGGTGGAGAGCAAACTGCTTGACCTCGACTTTCCTTCTCTGTAGACTGGATCCTGTCCCTGCCCCGGGAGGTGGAAGTGTGGGAAAGTGAACAGCATCCGGCCAAGTGGACGGCAAGGTACCGGCGAAGGTGTGATGGGCGTTCTCAAAGGAGGCCTTATTGTCCTGGGGGCTGAACCCGCCATGCCTCCTGGCCTCTTGAGAAACTGCCTCCCCTCTCCAGACTCCTTTTTGTCCTCTGTGAAGTGAGGGCCTCTGAGTTGAACCCCAAATAGTCTGTTCTCTGAGGCAAGGGCTGGTTTATCCAGCTGAGATAGATAGATAGATAGATAGATAGATAGATAGATAGATATACACTCACACACATATATAAATATATATTATATATAGTATATGGAATATATTATAGACATGTATACATATATAATACAGTGTGTATTTGTGTGTGGTTGCTGGTAAGGGGCTTGAACTCAGAGCCAGGGTATTGTCTTTAGCTTTTTTTGTTCAAAGCTGGTGGTCTACCACTTGAGTTACTTTTTGCTTGTTTTGTTTTTTTCCTTCTTAAACTGGTCAATTGGAAATCAGAGTCTCACAGACTTTCCTGCCTAGGCTGGTTTCAAACTGCAGTTTCAAGATCTCAGTCCCCTAAGTGGCTAGGATTACAGGCATAAAAACCATAGGCACCTTAGCTACAAGGCCATTTTTGAAGCATTTCACTGGAGTTCACTTCCCCTTGCTGGGAAGATCCAGAGAGAATTCAGACACAGGCCTTGCCCTCCTGGAGCCTGTATTGATTGGGCCTAGTGGAGTAAAGGGAGATTCCACACTTCTTTGTCCCACCCCAAAACAGGGGTTCTGACCCTCTGTTCTTTCAGCGAAGGCCTCTCTGCTCAGTCCTAGTATACATTTTCTTTTTTTTTTTTTCCTGTTGGTCATGGGGCTGTCTGGGCCTGGGTGCTGTCCCTCAGCTCTTCAGCTCAAGGTTAGCGCCCTACCACTTGAGCCACAGTGCCACTTCAAGCTTTTTCTGTTTATGTGGTGCTGAGGAATCGAACCCAGGGCCTCATGCACGTGAGGCAAGCACTCTACCACCGAGCTACCTTCCCAGCCCCCTAGTATACATTTTTTTCCAAAAAGTTCCTCCTGGCACTTGCAGTTCCCCAGGCAACTGTTTCACACTCCTCCATGGAGGAGTGGCATTTGCTTCCTGAGTTTTTGGTGGCCTCAGTTCTTGATAGTCACCTTAAAAATAGTAGCTAGAAGACTCCTCAGAGGTAGCCCCTCTGCTGATATCTTGGTGAAGACCCCTTGGGCCCCTGGAGCCTCCGTGGACTTGGAAGAATGTTTTGGGCTTCAGTAAATAGGTGCCATCTGCTTGGTGTATTTTGTAGCTTCAATGGTCTTGGTGTCTTCGTGGCTCTGTTGGTATGGACTTGGGACTGGTATGTACTGAGGATTTGCTCCAGGAAAGTTGGCCAGGGCAGGCAGTGGTGGTAAAGGCAGAGTTGAGTAGCCTGGTACTATTTATAGGGAATCTCCAAAAAACAACTGATAAAAGGGTGCTGCTTCACTCTCAGACCACAGCAATGTGCCAGCCAAAGCAAGTAGGGAGGCTTCAGGTCCAGTGGTCACAGGCCTGGCGCTTCCTACCTGGGCACCCATCCTGGATAATTAATTCAGTTACCTCCAAGTCTGACAGGTGCTTGCTATATATAATTGACCCTGGAACAATATTCACCCTCACTCCTTCCTTCCCTCTCCCCCAAAGAACTAAACTAGGAATAATAATAGTGCCTCCCTCCCGTGGAGAGTTATTAGGGAGATTTTATGAGCTCCTGAAATGCATCCAGCGTGCCTGACATGCAGGAAGTTACTGTTAGTGCTGTTCCAATTTGCACTCCCTGTTCTGGGCAAAGGCTGGTGGGAGGCAATAGAAGGACAGGGTTGGTGTGTGTATGTGTGTGTGAAGGGGCTCGGGGGAGAAGGGAGGAATTGAAGACTGTGTTGGGTGATTAGTGGGGAGTTGGGTTATCTCTGGCAGTAGTTTTGCCAGAAAGTTCCAGTTTCCAGATGAGAGGACTGTGTAAGATAAAAGGCCACCACAGCCATACTGTATGGCCCAGATATTCAGAATGCTGAGGCCAGGGAAAACACAGCAAACATTGGAAAGGGGAGAATTGTCCTTTTTGGCTGGCTGGCTACTTACTTATATGTGTGGTAATTGCTTCAGACTGGTTTGGTTTTTTTTTTCCATGGCCTGGGAGCTCTAGAGTCCAATTTTGTAACTCCTGCATGTGGCAGAGTAAAAATGTATGTGTGCATGAGTGAAAGAAACTAGATGTTGTATGTGTTGAATATGCATTTTATTTTAAAGAAGTATGAGGGGTAGGGACATGACTCAAATGATAGAGCACTTGCCTAGCAAGCGTGAGGCCTCAAGTTCAAACAGTACTATCAATAACAAAATTTAAAACAAATGTTAAGGTATCTGAAGACAGAAAGAGAACTAGCATTTGTGAGCACTTTCTTTGGGCCATGCATTTTCAAGTAATATGTAATTGAGTAGTAAACCCCACAGGTCTGTAACAGACTGCCTGGCTGACCTCAGTGTAACACAGAGGTCCTCTGAAGCAGAATCTTTGCATCTGCAAAGTAGGAAGCACTGTACCTATTCAGGAGGGCTGTTCGGAGCATTCAGGAAGTGTTAGGCTCAATGCTCTATAGTAAGTCTCCAGTCCAAGCTAGCTGCTAGACCTGGTAGTGTGGCTCAAGTGGCAGAATATCTGCCTAGCAAGTGGAAGGCCTTGAGTTCAAACACTAGTGCCACCAAAAAAAAAAAAGAAGAAGAAAAAAAATACAATAATAGCCGGTGTCATTTTTATTATATTGATTCTATGACAGGGCAACTTAAGGCCACAGGCATGGTTGTGTGTGGCATGGATTCTGAACTTACTTGGGCCTGTCTAGTAACAAAGGCACTGTGCACATACTCTCTAGACAGTTGGCTTGGAGTGCAGTCAAGTTCATATGTGTTTCATTCATTTCTGAAAGCACTTGACTATGTGAAATCTTAAAAGGGGAAAAAAAAAACCTCTGCAAAATGATCATTTATATGCCTTTCAAGTTCAGGTATTTTATCATCTAGATAAATCTTCCATGCATCTCCTTAAGCCACTTTGAGCTACTGAAGCTCTTAAATAAAGTGGCTTGTCTTGACCAGTGTCTGTCTGTACTCATTTATCATTGTTCCTTAGGAAAGATGGACAGATCCTATTTTCCATGGCAGGCTTGGGACGGCAGGTCCCTGCCCTACTGTTTTAGCGAAGCAGCTGTGTATGATGGTGTTGAACAAACCACCATGGAGTCAACATTCCCTCATAGTCTGGCTGACCTGTGCGCCAAGCTTAGGAATTAGCAAAGCGACCTGTTGGTAGTATGAACCTGGGAGGTGGGCTTGGAGGAGATCTGAAGTTCCTTAAGGTGATGGGTTTGAGGGAAAGTGCCCGCATGAAAATGATATCGTAGCAAAACTAGGTAGGACCTGTATCTCCATATTCTTATTTCTGGCTTGAGCTACCCCTTAGCTGCAGTCCCTAGCACAGATGTTGAAGGAAAGCCTTCCTCCAACTTCCCCTGCTACCAGGAGCACCTGCCTAGGTCCTTCTCCAGCACGCCCTCCCCCCAAGTGCTCCCTCTCCTGTCAATGTCCCTCCACATACAGAATCCCATCATTCCAGCCTGGCGCCGGTGGCACATGCTTGTAATCCTAGCTACTCAGGAGGCTGAGATCTGAGGATATTGGTTCAAAGCTAGCCTGGGCAAGAAACTCCGAGAGACTCTTATCTCCAATAAACCACTCAGAAAACCAGAAGTGGTACTGTGGCTCAAGTGTTAGAGTTGAAGACTTCAGGGATAGTACCCAAGCCTAGAGTTCAAGCCCCAAAACTGACAATTAAAAAAAAATCCCATCATTCCAGCATGGTCTTGTGTGAGGATCCCAGAGGTCCTTCAGAGATACTTCATGCCCACCCAGTTCACTGATAACAGAGAGACAACACTGAGAGCCCTGTTTTACATAATCTTGATCTGAGCAGCCTTGGGAAACTCTCCATACCTGGAAAGTATTAGGTTTATTGTATTTGGCCAAGGCTGTGGACAAAATGCATGTCCCATCCCATCTGTCTTCCACGTAGACCTTGCTATAAGGGATAAGCTGCCTTCTTCCCCAGACCAAAGGAAGGAGGTTGGGGAAGTACAAGTCCCCTGCCCCCAGCTCTTCCTCCTGAGGTGAGTTTGACTGCCACTCACTGAGCAGATTGAGAAGGGCTGTATTCCCAGGGCAGCTTTAATAGGATTGTAATCATGTGGCTTGTGGCCCTCCAGTGGCTCTAGAAATCTGCCTACCATGAAGGCTAGCACCCAGAGGCAGAATTTATAACTCCTGAAAGTGCATGTTAAGTGGTGGGTATTTATGAAAGAGAGTGTAAATGTGTCCATCAGTCAACCTGGAACTTTTTTAGAGCTCCTAAGATGGTTTTTAAATTAGAGCCAGTCTTCTTCCTGACTTCCACTTCTGTCAGCCCCCTCCCTCCCCTTCCTCTTAGAAAAATAAAGTGTCAAGGCAGAATAGAACCCAGGTCAGAGTTGGGAACAGCCACACAGAAGAGAATTAGCTTATATCAGAATTAGACTGTGGGGCTTCATACCTTGGTTCTGCCCCTGTTCCTGGTTGCGATGTTCAATGACCAGCCTGATGAATAGGATTCATCCTAATAGAACCCCAACCATAGCCCTCAGCACTGGTCAAAGCAACAGATGCAGGACCACGCTGGATTTTGGTTCAGTGAGTGATAGGCAGAAGGTAGAGAGCGAGGGTCACTGTTATAATGTGGGGATCCAACCAGGCCAGGGGAAAGAGAAGGTGTGAAAGGCTTGAAGTTTCTCTGTGAACCAGTGATCATGAGGGCAGCATGTCTATTATATGAGTTAGTGTGTAGGAGTCTTCACTTGAAATGATTATTGACTTCTGTTTTCTTTTTCTTCTTCTGTGCTACTGGGGTTTGAACCCAGGACCTTGTACAAGTTTGACTGGCACTCTACCACTTGAACCATGCCTCT